AGGAAATGAATCAAGATCATTACATTGGATCCAAACAATGTTAATGTTTTACCTACCTCAAGTTTTCAGTAAAAATCAAAATATTTACCATACAGTTTTGAAAAAGACAATTGGGTAATGTATATTACCTTGGGTAACAAATTGTGCTAAACACTACAGCAGATATTTTATCAAAAATTTACATTGAATTGTACAACCAGTTTGGTATTGATAACCTCATTTTGCCATTAGATGCTGTGGGAACAATTACAAAAATGTGAGTAGAAAGCTTTGTCATTCAGATAAACCATATATTCACATGGGTTTTGTTGAAATATCTTCTCTTATAGCTGATATTTTATATACATTATGACATTTAATTTATTCGACTTCATTTGATGCCTTGTTAAAGTTCCCCTCAAAACAAGCAATAAAGATAATTAGATACTGTCCCCTCTTCGGGTTTTGTTTTCTAACACTGGGATCCAATTCATTATAAAATAATGCATCCTTTTCAGCTACATCCCTTCCTGAAGAACCTCTGGCTGAAAAATTCCACTGGAGAACTAGGGAACTTAGACATGAAAAATAAAATGGATGAAAAGTATGATATTCTCAACTTGTGGAATTTTCCAGAAGGCCTGAGACTTAGGGTGAAAATTGGAGGGTTTTCCCCTCATGCTCCACTTGGTCAACAGCTGTCTGTGTCTGAGGAGGTGATGGAGTGGGCTGCAGGAATTACTGAGGTAAGTTGGATCTGCACTTTGCATTTTATTAGACAGAAATGAACAAAATCTTGTATATTTTGTGCCCCACCCTTGGTCATAAATGGTCACAAATGAAAATTTGACAATTCACCTTTCAATAAAAAGCACTTTATTTGTCCGATTTCTGATGAATGGGAATAAAGCTCATTTACTTAACCATATTTTGGTCAATATTCACATTTTTATCATTAAGTAAATATGGGATTCAAGCAAGTATTTGGACTTAAGCATTTATACAAATTAAATCTGTCACTATGGTTGTGAAAGATTAAGTAGAATTTTAAAACGTTATCAACACTCATCTGATTGTCCCCAGACTCCGCGCTCTGTATGCAGTGAGAGCTGCAGTCCTGGATTCAGGAAATCCCCTCAGGAGGGAAAGCCTGCCTGTTGTTTTGATTGCACCCCTTGCCCAGAGAATGAGATTGCCAATGGCACTGGTAATAGTAAAACTTCTCGACCAGCTGTCTTGCTTTCTTTTGTCTCACATAACTCCAAGAAAAGAATATAATTTTGAACAGAAGAGCAAAGGCAAATTCTTTCTTCCTTTAATTAACAATTTACCTCTGTAAAATTACCCTTTCAAAAAGCACACTCACTGTCCCTTAAGCTATACTTGAGATCATTTCTTTTTAATTTTGCTTTCTTGGAAATGGGATGCAGACACCATCTACAACTGGGCCACATTTTCAGACCTTTTAAATTTGTTATTTTTGGGAAGACTCTCACTAAGTTGTGCAGGTTCATTTAAAACTTGTTATCCACCTACCACAGCTTCCAGAGGAGTGGGGAATATAGGCATGATCTGCCATACCTGGCTCTTTGGTGTATTTTTCTAGACCCACTGAAAGCATTATGTTCCCAGCCCATTATGGTGATGCATGCCTATTATCTCAGAACTCTGGGAGGTCGAGGCAGAAGAATTGGTAGTTGAGCTCTACCTGGGACAAGTTAGTGACCTAGTGAGACAATTTTTCAAAATCAAAAAGGGCTGTAATGTAATGCAATGTGAACCCCCTGGGTTTTGTCCTCAGTTCCAGAAAAACTAAGTGATGAGAAAGTGCTATGTTCTCAAGGGGAAATAAGAATAAAGATATGCTGTGTATGGGAACCTAATAACTCCAATTAATGTAAACACTATAAGCCATAACGAGCTAAGATAAGTAATAACAAGTATGAAAAATAGGGTGGGGTGGGGCAGGGCAGGAGGAGGTTACAAAAAAGAAGCAAGCTGTGGTATGTAAACATAACCACTCCCCAAGATGATTGCAAACTGCATGAACCACAAACATGTACTAATAAGACTATTTTTAAAAGAATAAGTAATGAGTGAAATGAAAAAAAACCCCTCTTTACTTCCCAACATTACTTCTGTTTCACCTCCATCATTATATTTAACAGAATATTATTAAGCACCAACACTTCAACTTCTGTGAAACTACATTTAGATACTATTGAAGATAATGATCTTCCAGATTCTTACTTTCTCAGTACCTAACACTTCCCTTGGCACAGGTGCTGGAGGGATTGTGTGAGTGTAAGATAGAGGTATGCATCAGGGTACAGCATGTTCTAGCCTTATCTCAATCCTTAGAGTTTTATCCCTGCTCTCCTGGAATTCATAGGAGATTAAGGGAGATGGCATCCTGGGGTGCATTCCACAAACTGTTCATTTAAATTTTTGAAATGACTCTGAAATAAGCATTGTCATTAATCCCACTCAAAACACTCTTGCTTACTTTGAACACACTTATCCCATAATTCTTACCACTATCTGAAGTGGTCTTTGATAAGTATTTTAATTTTCATTGTTTGGTTGCAACATCTTCAAAATGTTTACCTTTTACATTCATTTTGACTTTGGGGAAGAGCGAAAGGGAGCTCTGTGGCAGACCCAATGAACAGGTGGATGAAGATGTGCTATGTTTTACAGCCTCCTTTCTCATTGAAAGGTGCTTGGCAGCAGGGTTCACTGAATACTCACCTCATAGAGACATGAAAGAGGACTTTCAGAACTGATTTAGAAAGTGGAAAGAATGATGGGATAAGGGCCTTTGAAGCAAGAGGAAGTATTTTGAGAGAAATTAGTGGCTTTGTGCCTTTTACTGAAATAAATTTTTAAAATCGTTAACATTAGCCATTCTTTTCAATCACACATTGCATATTGACATGAGTTATAGTTGGTGACACTGAGCTGCAAGGGTTATATTTACACAGAATATAGGATGTAATCAATGAGTACATCTACATTTTCAATCAATGTATAATAATTTTATTCACAGAGCCCATAGCATCTGTATTATATTAGATGACTATAAGGTATGATAATTTCTTGATATGATTAACAGAAATAGAGATCATGGATTCCTCACAATTTGTATAGTAGGTGAAATATATATAATGAGGTTCAATGTTATTGAACAAGACAGAAGACAGGGATGAATTTTGTGCATGGTGCAGAAATGGTATAGAAAACTAATGTTGAAGATTTTTGAATACCATAGTATCATCTTGGTAATAATTGAATTTATGATAATGTGTTCACATGTTAAAATTGTCTCTCTGCTACATATTATTTATTTATTTATGATTTCCATGTGTTTTAGTTTTATAATTTGCTTAGGATTATTTTAAATTAGTTTTTAAATATAATAAATTTGATATTATGCACAAGACAGTTATGTTGGGTGTGCACAATCACATTGGTTGTGTGATAATTTGAAATATGAGTTCAATGTGGATTTATAAAGAAGAATGCATCTAAAATCAGTTGCTTCTGGTTTAAGAAATACACTCTTCAATGACATGTGTTTACTATTTGATATTCCAAAAGTTTTTTAGTGTCTGTAATTGACAATATTACTTATGAAAGCTTTGGGTTGAAGGTGAAACTACCTTTGAAACAAAATGTGTACCTTCTATATACTTACATACTGTTATATATTTATATAAAAAGGCTTAAGTTCAGCATTTGAAAATTTTATCAGAAATTAGAAAAAATGAGAAAATTCAAGAAATAAAATTCATTGTAAGAAACAATATGGAAATAAATCTTAAGAAAATGAATTCACGGAGAAAACAAACAATAAAACTAAAGTTGATTCTGTTAAAAAAAAATGATAACCTTTATATAGTTGATCAGGAATAAAGAGAAAATTTGCAAAATAAAAAAAACATAATTACTAAGTAATTGGTCATTTGCACAGATAAGCCAGAAATCTTTCATATAAAAATTGTATGAATAGTTTTACATGAATCTATGAAAAATTTCTTGGAATTCAGAAATTCAAAAGAAAACAGAAAACCACCCTAAGAAAATTAGAAAACAATGCACAGTATCATATGTATTAACCTATAAGATCATAATTTAGTACTTTCTCAAAATTTCTACAGTGTTTAAAGCCTCACTGGTGAAATAGTGTTGTGTGTAAGCATTCAAGGCCACATTAATACTAATTACTCAAAATCTTTCACAAAAATTACAAAGTGGAGAGCAAGTTATTTTATGTGAAGAGTTAAATTCTTGCACCCATTGCCTCAAATGATTGCAGGACAAATTTTACACTACTTTTCTTTCTGAAGGCTATGCAAAACTATGACGGGGGCCTAGACCAGAAACACATTTGATTTACCAAACATAATTGAGTACACTAACTTCTTGGAAAATAAAAATAAAACAAATAACTAAAAATATAATACCCTGAGCACTTTTTGATAATTCAGAAATAATGACAGTAGCAACTCTTACTAAAAATTAGAAGTAGGAGGAAATTGTCTCATTTCCATAAATAATATTTACCAAATGCAAAGCAGATATTGTATTTTGTGGTTCAATGTGGAAAACAAGAATGAGACAAAAATTGTCCATGTGACTACTTCTACTATTATGCTGAAAAACCTGGCCAATACAATATTTTCAGGGAAGTAAAAGTAAAAATTTCTCAGAAAAGATTTAGTATAACTGGTATTATTATCCAATGTTAGTACTGTGTAAGCATAAAATCCTAGTGAATTAATGACTTTATTTACTGGTGACTAAATAGAAGATTTATGTTAAGATATTCTTAGAATTCACTCATATAACATATGAAGATGAAATTTATAAGATAATTTTATTACATTTAAAAGTAAAAAATATCTACTGATGAATTCTTTTAGTGCTTGTAATTAGTGATAAATTAAAGGAAATAATTTACAAATACAAAACTGATATATGCAGTTGGATAAAACATGTTATTAGATGGAAGTTTCAATGAAGAAGAATGGCAGTACTTACCAAATTGATATGCTGATTCTAGGCAATTTCAGTAAATATTCAGTTATGTCTTTTGGTGAAAATTACTACCTTATATAGGGTGACAATTCTTACTCTTCCTGTTATGAAGTCCTACTGGAAATGTCTGCTTACCTGAAACCTCTCAAATTATGGTGGTCTGTCAATAATTGATTAATGATTGATTGAGAACTCAGAACAGCACATACAGAGATTTAATTTAGGTAGTCAGTGGACTGTTCTTTGTGAAAAAACAAGTACTTTTATGAATATGACAGATTAATAAAGACAATAAAGGTCATCCACAACTTCATAATAATCTGACTAGTATTTATGAGGAATTGTTTCTTATATAATATACTACACGTGTGGAAAAAAGTTAGGAATTTTCCTCAAGTAACAATGAGCATATTGGGGTAAGGCCTGTGAATATGAGACAAAAACTGAAATTGTAGTCATGATAATTTGAATTTCTCACTAGACATGGAGCAGTGTGTGATGTGTCCAGACCATCAGTATGCCAGCATTCAGAGAAACCACTGCCTCAAGAAGTCTATGACTTTTCTGGACTATGCAGACCCCTTGGGGAAAACACTGGGAGGATCAACCCTGAGCTTCACTATTATCGCAGCTCTTGTTCTTAGCCTATTTGTGAAGCACCAAGACACTGCTATTGTCAAGGTCAACAACCGGACTCTCAGTTACATCCTGCTCATCTCTCTCACCTTCTATTTCCTCTGCTTCTTTCTCTTCATTGGCCATCCCAACACAGCCACCAGTATCCTCCAGCAGACTGCATTTGGAGTTGTGTTCACTGTGGCTGTTTCCACTGTATTGACCAAAATTATCACTGTGGTTCTTGCCTTTAAGATCACTGCTCCTGGCAGAAGGATGAGGCAGTTGCTAGTATCGGGGGCACCTAACTACATCATCCCCATCTGCTCCCTGATCCAACTCACTCTCTGTGAAATCTGGATGGGAACAAATCCACCCTACATAGGCACAGATGCTCACTCTGAACATGGCCATATCATCATTGTGTGCAGCAAGGGCTCACTCACTGCCTTCTACTGTGTCCTGGGATACCTAGGCTCCCTAGCCCTGGTGAGCTTCACTGTGGCTTTCCTGGCCAGGAACCTGTCTGAAACCTTCAATGAAGCCAAGTTCCTGACCTTCAGCATGCCAGTGTTCTGCAGTGTGTGGATCACCTTCCTGCCTGTCTACCACAGCACCAAGGGGAAAGTCATGGTGGCCATGGAGGTCTTCTCTATCTTGGCCTCCAGTGCAGGGCTGCTGGGCTGCAGCTTTGGTCCCAAGTGCTACAATATTTTGTTAAGGCCAGAAAGAAATTCTTTGCATGGATTTAGACATAAAGCACATCCTGGAAGAAAGAAGCCTTCTTAAGTAAAAAAAATTCTTTTACTAAATGCAGAAATATTCTAACACAATTCTGCATGATATTTTCCAGTTTTATATTAGATTATACTATGGTATTTACTTGAATAATCAAAGAAAATGTTCTTCTTGGTGTAAGAGCATTGCAATTCCCACCACTTGTAATAATTTCCTTTTTAATTTGAATTTTATTCAGAATGTTTGTTCCATTAATTCTATTACAAACAATCTTATTTTTTTATTTTCAATTTTGTTATGTGATTCAATTTATTTTGCCTTCCTCTTGGCTCTGATTTTTACCTTTTACTCATTTTAATAACTAACGGTTATATATAAATCAATGTTCCTGAATCCTTAAGTACATTCCATTGTTTTTTATTTCCAAGAAATATCATGATTATAATACAGTTATATTATAATTATTTGGTAGCTTATGTAGTTTTTTTCTTTCTCACATTTGTCTTTTGCAATATTCATGAAGGTGTTTTGTACAATTTAACTCATTGTCATGTGCAGTAACTAAGATTTTTAAATGCAACGTGGCAAGGTATTGAATTTAAATGTCTATGTGGGGAAGAACTAGGAACTGGAGAAGTGATTTTTTTCTATTCATGATTTTATATATCTTTCCATTTACCCTTATTTAATCATCCATTATTAATATGATACATGATTTTATATGTGTGTCTTATTTTGTACTCTTTATGAATACCTGTACACGATATATATGAAACAGTTTTTCCTGTCATATTTCTCCCTGGATATTATTTTGAATTTCTCATGACATTTACAGAATGAATACCCCACCAAACCCTACCCAAGATAGCACCACTTTGTTGTGCACCAGTGTTTACCTGTCTATTGTGTCCTCACCAGGTGTTGAGGCTCTGTGGCAGATTCTGGCACAAGTCATCCAAACATGTGACCTGACAATACTGGTGAGACTCACAGGGTTTGTAATAAGAATAGGACAGCAATACATTTATACATAAATTTTTCAAGACTCCTGTTCATCCTGATTTTTGGCATTTAACAGATTCATAGATAAACTGTGCCTTGGTAGGCAGGATTTGTCAACTTTTGTAGTGCAGCTTTCCATAAGTTATACACCATGCTGCATATGACTTATAATAAAATTATTTACTCATCAAAGTGGACTTCTCAAAGTCATTCTTTGGACTCTCTGTGCCATCCCAATTCAAAGACTGTTTCCTTCAATCATCTCTAGAAAATCATGAAACACTTGGTGCCTGAGTAGGGATGAGTGACCCAAAGGTGACTCAGAGCAGAATGGAAATCCTGGGGTAGCCCTCTTTTATGTGATATTAGGTGGCATGCCTTGTTAAATTGTGGTTCAACAGGAGAGTGCATGGTCACGTGAAAAGTGCTGAATCCACTAAGGAACATGTGTCAAACTCTGGTGATAATACATGTGTGACAAGGGTGCAGCAAATGTGGGTGGTAGTGTGCATAGTGATACTTCCTATCAAATCTGAGCAATCTGCCCTGGGGAAACTCCAAGATGGTGACTATCCTGGATGTCTGATAATCCCCCTGTGATTGCAGGGATGGCCTGAAGGTGACCTAAAGTGTGGGGAAAATATTACTTTTTTGTTAAAGAGCAACCTTCAAAGGAAAAGAAAACTGAACATGATTACAGTGGTTGTGGTCAATCTTATGGCAAGGGGAGGACATGCTGAGTTCTAAGCTCAAACCTGTGCAAAGGTAATTACAAGAGGAAGAATCCTGGAATAAAGCTGTTAAAATGCCAGTGCTCAGGGTAGAAAGAGCCAGGAAGGTGGAGATGGTAGCTTCTTTAAGCCTGGAGAACCATCTCAAGCTGGAGTCTAAACTCAAGTTGATTTACAGAGATGCTCTGGCCACAAATCTGGATGTGAGGCAGGAGTAAGTATAGCTTTTGGGCAGTGCACTGCCTGAACAGGGTCTTGTGTGTTATCAGGTTAAGCTTAACCCCTGACTCAGGTTAAAAAAGGAGAGGGAATGAAGCTTCTTACTTTTCTGTGTAAACTTCAAGGGAACCCATTGTGTAACATCTTGGGTGGTTGGTAAAGTTACTTTTTGATTCTATGGTCTATTCTAATATTGTATGTGACTTTTACAATGAATAATTTCTTATCAACAGTATGAAGAAGGTCTTTAAACTGCAGTTACAGGGTTAAATTTCTCTTCTGCTAATTTCTATTTACAGTAAGATAATTTTGTCATTCATTCCTGTAAATAGTGGAAGGTTGTCCAGCCCAAGTTGGAATGTAACACCTATGAAAATAAAAAAATTTGAGTGGTTTATAATTTGAGTGGTTTCAAAACATATGACAGCAAGTAAGCAGTATGTAGGAGTTAGAAAAGAAGATAAATTATTCATATGAGGATATACTTTTTGTAAGTAGATAGTCTATGTGATTTTTTCCTACCAGAATGGTAAAAATAAGAATGGAATCAGAAGGTGTGAGCTAGTCAGAGACACTTTGTGAGAGTTGAGAATTGGGAAATAGGAAGAAAATGTTGAAATGGTGAGGGAAACAAGGGAGAGGGAAAGGCAAGGAAATAAATGGAAAAAGGGAAAAATGTGAATAGCAGGAAAAAGTGGAAAGAAAGATATTGTATGTAAAGAGGAGAAAAATGGTAGAAGGGAAGGGAGAGGAATAGGGAAAAAATAATAAGATATATTATGTACAGGCACAAATTCTCCATGATAAATGTGATCATTATGTATAGATAAATTTTACCAATAAAATTGTTTCTTAGAATTTAATAAAATGATAATTAAAAATGTTACATCTGCTGGGTCTGGGGCCTAGGGGTCCCCAGCCTCACCCTCAGTGGGCCTCTCCAATATAGAAAGACTAAGAAGAGTAAGAGAAGAGCAGTGTGAATCAAGAGTGTTTTATTATGTGTATTGTGAGTGAAAGTGGTACAGAGCCACTTTTCTTTTTTTTTTAGTTCTTTTATTGGTACATTTTAGGTATACAATTCATTTACATTTATTATTGGGTGTTTGTACCTGTACATGACATATCTTGGTTCTTATTTTTTTTCCCCATTACCTGTGCACCCTTCACCCCCTCCGCCCTTCCATTTACATAGATTTCATTTCCATTTTTTTTTTCTTTTCTCATAGTTTTTCCTTTCCCTCTTTTCCTTTCCCTTTCCACTCCCTTCACTCCTTCATCTTTGGACCTTTTTTCCTATTTTAAATTATCAATGATTCATTTTAATCATTTTAACTCGTGTTTACACTTTCTCACACTAGTGAAACTATTCAGTATTTACACATGTGTGTCCTATTTATTTCACTTAACAGTATGGCCTCAATATGCATCCATTTAGCTATAAATGACTTTAGTTTTTCATTCTTTATGGCTGAGTAGTGCTCCATTTTATAAAAAAAAAACAACACATTTTCTTTATCCAGTTTCCAGTTAATGGGCACTTGGGCTGCTTCCAAGCTTTAGCTATTACAAACTGTGCCACTATGAATATGGGTGCACATATATCACTGTGGTATGATTCTTTTAATTATTTTGTGAAGATGCCCAGCAGGGGAATAGCTGG